TAATTTAAAAGTTCATTTACCGCCAAAAGTACTATATATCAAACCGGCAGGGTTATTTGATTCCGCATAGTGCATAGTTACATAATGTTATGTAGGTGTATATTATGGAAATATAGTTTTTTATTTATAAAACTATATTAAATATACTACAGTGTATACGATGTACGTCATGTTCATTAATATTTTTGTGCCGAAGCAAACTAGACAGAAGTTTTTATTAAAATAAAAATATGTATACCTTTGGTTTTTTTTTAAGACCCGTTAAGTCTGCTGGATTATGTATGTACCGGGTACCTATAAATATATATATTTTTATTTTTCAACATTCGAAATCGTTAAAAACATAAATGTAAGCCGATGCACGTGCATTTATAGTGGCTACCGATGCAGCGTGAAAATAATTTTCATACATAGTTAACAGTTGCTCGGTTGAACTGTTGGTTGAACCACAAATCGTTTAGACAAAATAAAATAATATTTTAAACATGACATTAGAATAGTGCTATAATGTATTTTTTTCTTCTAATAAACAACAAACAATTAAAAATTATTTTATGCGTGTCAAATAACAATTAATCATTCGAACAAATTTATTTACTACTTTTTCGAGCAACTGTTTATTCAAGTTTAAAAAATCAATTAGTTTTCGACCGGAAAATATATTTTTTAAATTAAATAATCTTCGAAAGAAAAAACAATTTGAATAATTCCCAACTATGCAAGTTTCCCGCACGGACATAATTTATCATTATTTTGTCTTACCATATATTATGTAATACGATTATAATTGGAGTTGATTAGTCGCTAAGAACTATATACTGAATAATAATAGTATAGCGTCTCGTAACCGACCCTCGAGGAGGAGAAACCCGGGTTAACCCGTTCTAGTTTCGATAGGCAGGCAGGTAATAACATTATTATATTGTTGTTGTTCGATTTTTGAATTCGAAATGCACATAATTACTATATTTTGAACAGTAACCCGTTTGCCGGTGTGCTAAACATAAATAATATTATAATATCTAATATTATACCTAGATAATAATAATTTATCGTGCATTTACCGAGCCGTGTAACTTTATGCCGGGTTGTGCTGCGAACCGACGCGGTACTCCCCACAGGCCCTCTTTGGGGTTGGTAACGTTAGCTAGAGGGTTAATTATCAAAACGGGACCGAGGTGTCACCAGATTGAATTTCTCCAGGTTATTATTATTATTATTATTATATATTCGAGTAGGGCCCCGTTCGTGTGTAATATAGTACATAGCAGAGTGTATACATATTATGAGCAAATCCGATGGGACAGATGCGTTGTGTGACGCGAGGAGCAGATGTTGCTGGGCCGCTTATTGGGGAGGCGATATTTTAATTTCCAAGGTAAAAAAACATACACACACATATGAGCAATAATAAAATGGGTAGTAAATCTAAACGTCGTTTAGTAGGTTAGGCCCGTATATAATAATATACAGGGTGTGTACAAATTCAAGAGAAATCATTCTCAATATGATATCAAACTTGGACCTCCTTAGCTTTCTAGGTCGCAAAAAAAATTATCGTTGCAGCCGTAGCCCTTTTGTGAGTAGGACATTTTTTTTCAGAAGAACTTGGACGCCCCAAAACAGTCGGGCGTTGTATTGTGTACGCGTTTAAACGGAGCTCGTGTGTACCACACATATATATATATATATATATATATATATATTTTTTTTTATTTTTATTATTATAATCATCATCATCGTGTAATGTATAGCGCGTCTCGTCGAAGGTCGAATATATACCAGCTATACCTACACAGTCGGCCCTAACAAGGTACGCGTTAAAAAGAATAATAATAATAATATATAGGCTTTGGAAATTAAATGAACAAAAAAAAAACACCATAAAAAAAATCTATAGAAATATTAATAAGATCCTTGGCCGCTTACTTTGACCATTATTGTTCTTGCGTATAATATTATTATCATATAAAATATGTAATATATTATATATTTTTATTTTACATGGTTTTCTCTGGACGCGTCCCTCCGGGCCAAAAGCAAACTAGTCGGACCGGACGGTATTTCTGCGTTTTCAAAAATCCCACCGGTAGTTATTATCGTCATCAACATCATCATCATCATCATCATTAAACGGTGTATACCTTAGCGCTGTAGACCTACAATGATTTTCGAATTAAAAATATTATTAAAACGATAATAATAATTTACAATGGCCGCTATTTTGTGTGTGAATGTTTTTGTATTAACCGACAAAGCTCGGCTCGAGTGAGTGCGAATAAACGTCTATTATTGTTAAGAAAACACGCGTAAAAGCCGAGGGTTGAATTACAAAAATGAAAGAGAAAAAAAAAATACAAATTATGGTAAAAAAAATATAATAATAACGGAAAGGGGGACGGTTGACAGACGGTAATACCGTTTTGCCGGAGGAGGTCGGCTGGCAAAGGACCTTTACCGAGTGAAGGATTAAAAGGAGAAAAAAATAACATATTTATACACATTTCTTTAGTTTCCCTTTTTGTATAGTTTGAAGAAATCACCGCCTTAACCCTCTAGTCCTACCCGCAAAGAGGCCAAAGCGCTTTAATTATATTTTACCGGTCGTTGTACTCGGTCGATTGAACAACAATAATAATAATATAATATCGTTCAATTGACGAGTGCGTTAACGGCTTGTAAGCAGTTGCTATGATTTACCAAAAAAATATACACCAATTTTGTTTCATCCCATCATAGCAACAACGGTAGGTACGCTCTAATGGAATACATTAAACCGACCTAGCACGAGCACCACTCGTACCTGCTGCCGTGGGCGATTAATTATAATTTTACCGCATTAACAACGCCACCAAAAACCCACAGCACATGTACACATCATATCCGTGCCACAGCCGTAGCCACTAAGCCCGCCGAATGTATATTATATACTAAATATATTGTGTAAATATCATCGTTGTGGTAGAGTAGTCTTATTAGAAAAAAAAAACTAATAACACACTTGTAGGTATGATGATAGTAGTTGTTTAAGTTTTTTTTTAATAAACCGAAAATGTTGTGTAATCGGTGTGTAAACGTTTACTTCAAACGTGCTCTCTCGGCTTTCCTCAATATAATATTGTTACAATCATTCTGAAATCATATTTTAATAAGCAAATCAAACATTGACAACGCAAACGTTCAGCAATAGTTATTATAAATATTTTTAAAGTATTTATATGTTTTTTTTTAACTTGCCATCCATCATAATATGATTTAAAATTATGTTTTCAATACTCAAAACTATTAAAATTTAAAAAATACCTAATATTTGCCATGCGGGATACAGCAGGAAAATTACAATAGTTTGTTTTAAAACGCTCTTCAATGTCAATATATATGGAAATGGTAGTGGAGCAAGCATATTATTATATATATTGTCACACATGAAATTCTGGCTTGTGGCTATTTAAGCAATTGATACTTCCTCGGCATTTTTGTTGTTCTTGTTTTAAAAAAAAATGTATTTCATAAAAAAAGACCAATTTCAATATTATATTCTTGTTGGTAGTTCTTAATATTTTTTTTTATGAACATTGTAGCAACATATTACCTAAATACAGGATGATTCGTTAATAATATTGCACTCCAAAAAAATCATTTTTTAAACGCCAAAATATTTAGAAAACTACATTTTTTTTAATTTCCAAATATATATTTGCCTCTTATAAAATATTATTATTACATTATTGCAATAAATGGCATATACTAAAACTCGCGATGGTCTATTCATTTTTTTACATACATTTTTAATATTATTTCAAGTTTCAAATTTTTTTATGATTTTTTTTCTTCACACAGAATTTCTCAGTCTCCAGTCTTGTGCAGTGTGTGCACTACACGTCATGATATCAACGGCATTTTGATACTAACGACCTTGTGTGTGGTTTCGGATGGAACAATATTGTCATGTAGTCCACGGTAACTTAGATATAACATTACACAGTTATTCGTGGATATTACACCTCGAGATTGTGATCAGCTCTTCGGATACTGTCGCCGGGCAGGACCTCACACAATCTTAGCCCGAAAAAGACCCGACCGGCGATAACGACGAGGTCCGTACAGAATAATGTCGTCATTAAGTTATTATTATTATCATTATTATCACCGAAATATAATCAAAACTCGTTTGATCGTAAACGGCTGATATGTCCAGGCGCAGTCTCGCGCCGACGGTTTGGAGATGATATGCGTTTAGCCAATACAATAATATTATTACTGTTGTTAGCCGTTTCTGACACACGGATGCGACCCGGGAATCGGTGTTTCTACACATAGAGGTTTTTATGTTAAATACTGGTTAAAAAATAATGTTCAATTTATAAGCAGTCCGTTCGTAACGATGGTGCGCCGAGCCGAGTTCCGAGCGTGTACAGGATAATAATATATTGTAATTTGTCCGTAGAAATTTGAATATGTAGGCAACTATTGGATATAAAATAGATATTTTTAACGTAAGTAACTTAAGCGCGGCGCCATACTGTAATAAATTGAATTTCCGCGATAATGTTAAATATACCTCGTTGATATTTATAGGGGAAAATCCCACACAGAATCTATAAATAAATTCAACTAATTATCATACAGCGCTGTTTGGGCTTAGTCGGTCACGAGGTGGCCATGTCCTATTGTAGTTTGCACCGTTTAGGTGCACCACTTTAACTAGGTTTTCTCTGCGGTTTTTTTATAGATAACTTTAACTTTACCTTATAGTATACAAGTAGTCGATAATAGATAATATGCGTTTTATGTGTTTAGATGAAAATATGTTTTTTTAAATCGCTGACAAGGATGCTGTGATAGTCCTAGACATATTTTAACTGCCAAAAACGAGTCCTAATCACTGAACTAATAGTTACACATCACAGTTTAACCTTTAAGTTAAGATTTTATAAAAACAATTGCCTATAACTTTACTACTTAAAATGAACCTCTTAATATGAATGGTTAGTGCTTACCTTGAGATGGCCGAGTGTCGCTACGCCCAGAGGTGCTGCGACGAGTCCACGTAGGCTGGCGTCAAGTAGTACTTTCCGGACTGAACGGACGCCGTCCTCTGCGGCTGGCCGGCGTACGGATACGGCGGCATCCTCATCGGGGTGGCGTATATGTTGGCGCCGTTCCTGGACCGGGCGATCAGGCTCTGGCACGACTTGCTCACGTCCGGCATGGCGAACTTCAACTTCTCCCAGAACATGCGGTCGCCCCAGTTGACGGTCACCGCGTTCTTCATGTACACCCTGAGCTCCGGGTCCACGTCCCTGGGCTGTATTTCGCCCAGGGTGACCACGATCAGCCGACCCCTCTTGTCCTTGAGGCCCTCGTGCAGCGCCGACTTGAACTCGAACCGGCACCACTCGGACTCGACGAAGTTCTTGGACACCACCAGCACCGTTCGCTTGGACGACTCGATGGCCTCCACGATGGTGTCGGCCACGTACGAGCTGACGTTGAAGTCGCGGTAGTGCAAGCCCACCCTGTACCTGGGCGTACCCTGCTCGAGCCCCGGCGCCAGCATTTGAGCGACGAACCCGTCGTCCTTGAGGCTATACGCCACGTACGCGTCGAACATGCGGTCGTCCTCGAACGGAACCGTCTTGTGGCATATCCGGAAGCCGCACTTGTAGTACACCCAAGCGCGGCACTCGTCCCTGTACACGACGGTCAGGTAGAGGACCAATATTACCGCCAACACCAGGCAAACGGCGGTCAGCGCTGTGGGCAACACGTCGCGGACGATGCGGTTCTCGACGATGGACCCGAAAAACGAACTGCACTCCGTGGTGTTTTGGTCCCGGATACTGACGGCGTCCCGGGTGCCTTCCGGCCGGCACTCCACTTCCGCGGTGTCCGTCACCCTGTCGCCGGACACCATCATGAACCGCCGGAACGACTGGACGAATTCGCATTCGCAAGACCACGGGTTGTTGGACAGTTGCAAGTCGGTCAGGTGCACGTTGACCGACAGGGTCCATACGTCGTAGTCGTAGAGCCGGTTGTTGTCGAGTCGGAGCACGCGCAGACTTTTCAGCGGTTCGAACGTCATGTTGTTCACGTGGCTGATCGAGTTGTACTGCAAATACAGTTCCTTGAGGTTTTCCACCGTGTTGAACTCGGACCCGTCGAAACGTTCGATCTTGTTGTTCTCCAGGTGCAGCACGGCCAGCCGCTTCAGCCCGGTGAACGTGTCGTTCCTGATCGACTGGATGCCCGAGTTGTTGGCGAACAGTATGCGCAAATTTTTCCGGCCAAGAAGCGCGTGGCTGGATAGGTGCGTGAACCGATTGCCGTCCAGGTACACCTCGGTGGCGTCCATCGGTATTTTGGCGGGCAGCTGCGTGTAATTGGACGAGTAACAGTCAACGATGTTGGACGACCACGGCTGATCGTGGTAGCACGTGCAGTTGGCCGGGCAAGTCATTTCGCAGTCGCACGCGTCAAATTCGCAACACTGGCACACGGTAAAGCAATGGGTCTTGTAAGTGCACACGAACTGCGACGGGCTGATATCGGACAGTGGCACGTATTTGTTCTCGCGGTTGTACAACAGTTTACAGTAAATGAGCGGGATGTCCATGATGAGCGGGTACAGTCGCAAATCGGCCAGCTGGTTGATGCGCTGCAACCATTCCATTTTGCAATCACACTGGAACGGGTTGCTTCCGATGTAGAATTCCGGTAACGGCCGTCCGGCCGGCACCGGCGGCAACCGTATAGCGTTGATGTCCAGCTGGACGATATGGTTGGAGTACATGTCCACCCGAGTGATGTTGGCCTTTTTCAAAAACGTACCCGGTTCGACCGTCATGATCTGGTTGTCGTTCATCAACAGGATTTCCACGCCGTCCGGTATGGACGACGGACTGATGTACGTGAGGTAGTTGTACCGGACGTCCAGCGTGAGTATTTGATTGCTGACGCTTTTTTTGTTGGACAACTCGGTCAAATAGTTTTTGTGCATGTCCAGCCATTCCAATTGCGGCGGCAACATATCGTAATCGAAGTCGTTCAACACGTTGTCGGACACGTTCAGCCACAGCAGACTGGATACGTCCCGGAACAAGTGTTCCACGGTCGACAAACGGTTGCCGTCCACACGGATGGCTTGGATTTTCGGTATGTTCTTGAACGCCTGTTTTTCCACGTAGTCGATTTGGTTGTGCGCGAGATTTAGGATCTGTAGGGACGGTAAATTACCAAATGCGTTAGCCGTCAGATTTCTAATCCGGTTACCGATCAGTCTTAACCCGTACAAGTTCGACATGCCGAAAAACGAATCGGGCTCGATGGTATTAATTTTGTTTTCGCCCAAATCTACGGTTTTCAATAGTGCCATTTCTCTTAGGGCGGCCGGCACGGACTTGAGCGCGTTGCCGCTTAGATTTATGTCCTGGAGAGTAGTACAATTCCTAAAACATTCTTCGTGCACGTCCGTCAGCTTGTTGCCGTCCAGCGACAGCAACGTCAGCGCATACAAACCGTTCAACGCGAACGGGCTGATCTGGACGATCTTGTTGCTGGACAAGATGAGCGTGTCAAGGTTCCGCAACGGGATGAACGCGTCGTCCGGTACGGCGTCGATGGCGTTGCCGGCCAAATTCAACACTTGCAACGTGTACAGGTCGTGGAACATGGTCGGGTCCAACTTTGTTATTTTATTGTTGGCCAGGTTCAGCGTCACTAACCGTATTAGTCCGGTGAACGTGCCGGCGTCTATCCACGCGCTTGACAGCTGATTGTACGACAAGTCCAACGACGTGAGCTGGTACAAATTGACGAACAGGCCAGGCGCGAGCGCGCCGATGCTGTTGTTTTGCAAGTATATTTGTTTGATGCTCTCGGCCACGTCCTTGAACATGTTGACGGGCAGCGATACGATAAAGTTGCAAGACAAGTCGAGTACCTCGAGGTTGGCCAGTCCGCCCAGCGGCCGATCGGCCACCGCGGAAATGGCGTTTCCGGCCAGACGGAGCTCGGTGAGCCGTCGCAACGAACTAAATCCGTTGGCGGGCAACGTGACGAATCGGTTCCAGGACAAGTCGACGGACTGCACGTCCAGCGAGCACGGGCCCGTCGGCGACTTCCTCTGGTACTGGTCCACGTCGTACACGTCATCGCGGCCGCTGATCAACGGCTGGGGCGGAGACGGCGTACGCTCTTTGAAGCCCAGGTCGCCGACGTCCTGTATGCGGTTGCGGCTCAAGTTTAGGTGGACCAGATTGGGCAGCTGGCAAAACGTGTTTTCCGGCACGTCCACCAGGTTATTGGTGCTCAGGTCCAGCCGCTCAAGTCGGCGAACGTGCGCGAAACTGCCGGCCGCTATGTCCACGGTCGCGTTGGGGTTAGGCCAGTCGGACGCGCCCGTCCGGACGGTCAGGTTTCTCAGGTCACCAAGCCCGGTCAGCGTGCCCGACGGCCAACGAGCCAGTTTGCAAGAGTCGAGTTCCAGTTCCCGGAGTCGGAGCAGGTGGGCGAAGCTCTGGTTTTCCAGCGAGCTGGTGGTGCTCACCGTGGGGTCGCACGATATCAACAGCGACACGGTGTGCTCGGACGGGATGGCGGAAAAATTCGTCATGTCCATGTCGCTGTTGATGGTCCGCAGCGTACAGGCCAACACCACTTCGTCGCCGGACGGATTTTCGGCCCGGACTCTCCACGCGCAATCTTCCGGCGCGTCATAGTTGAGCGCCGCAGACGCGTTCGACCCGACGGTCTGGCCACACACCGAGTGCCACACCGGTATGAGTATGAGTATCGCGAAAAAAACGCACATCCTGCGGCCGTAGGTTATGGCGAGCGGCCGGTTAAACGCGCATCGGGCCGGCGCCGAAATCAGTTTATCGCGATCATGAACTAAATAAAAAAAAATTAAAATAACAGAAAAATAAAAACAAAACCACCGACGACGATATTATTTTGTTTTTACTATAAAAAAAAATCAAACGACGGCGTATGTGTTCGGAGACTACGGCAGTAATGTTATTATAACGTGTCAGAGTAACGTAACGCGAACGGCTTTCAGCAACGGTCGGTTGTTCATCCCGTTGGCGCGGACTCGTTGGAACGGTGCCCGATGGCGGACTGAATGTGCCCGGCCGTACATGCTGGTCGACGACTGCCGGTGCCGCACTACACTAGCGCGCGCGGTTTGAATCTCGACACCGAGGCGGCCGGCCCATGCGACCGTGGCGGCACCTCCGAACGGCCAAAACCGCTTTTGGCCTTTGCCGAAACAAAAAGCAAAAAATAATAAAATAAAATAACCCAGAGCAGCTGCACTGGCCGTCACACACACACACACACACATGGACAGCCTCCGCGTTTATGTACCACGCACGCCAAAAACCGGCACACATCGCCCTCGTGTATAGGAGCATCGTAGAAAGGGCGAAAAAAAAATTACTTACCCTCGTTTTATTGTTGTTGTTGTTATTATTGTTGCCTTTATCAATATGAGCAATCACGGCGGTTTGCACACGCCGTATTGTTTTTTATTTTATTCTTCGCAGAAACTTCAAAGACCTTGTCGCCGGCACCAGAAAAACTTTGCTCGAGTCGCAATACATAAACTTATCGCCACGTGTGCTTAGCAGTAGACAGAAAATTAGTAGAAGTTAAAAGTGAATTCAAAAAGCGGCGATTTTTATTTTTTAATACCGCCAGATTGTTTTATATAAGTTTTTTTTAATATTAAAAGTCTCGCCCAAGATCGGCGGGTGTTCTTTGATGTTTAGACAGGTTAAAGAAAACCCCGTATAGTGAGCACGTGGCTAAGAAGTTAAAAACTAAAGTCAGATAAAAGGAAACTTCGGAAGTAGACGAAATGGACGTGTGGGATGACATTTTTAAATCAATTGCGAGATATGAGGTAATGGGGATCTTATTGATAAAGACGTTGAGTTGTATGTAACATGCAGGCGAATATACAACGTTTTATCTCTTAACTCGTGCAGAAATAATATAGTTAAATGATATTTCATTCGACCAATTTTATAACAAGTGATCCTATTTACCTAAAAAAAAAACTTAAAAACATCTTAACAGTACAAATGCTTCAATTATACTTCTTTAACATTCAAAATAAAAATATTTTACATTATTTTATACGTGATATACTAAATACTTGAATAGTTCATAATCGAATCACTATATCGTGCACGGTATGAATGAAAAATATAAAATGTATTTTCCTAAAGTAACAAATTGAGGGAACTAATTCACAAACACTTTTAAAATATAAATATACATTTAGGACCCCTTTACCGAATAGAGCAACAAAACACACGGACCAGCAATATATTTTTTATACTTTTGAACTTTATAGTTTTTACAAAAATATACATTTTTTTTCAAATAACATAATAAATAAGAAAATACTTGAAGACTTTGATCACGAAAATGGGGCAGAATCGAACCGTATTATAATAATAGAGTTTAGGTTGGGTCAAGCACTCTGTGCGATTGTCAGTCCTACAATATTATTGATATAAGCGTTTCTATAACCTCCCCCCAAATAAAGTTGATATTGAAACCGCAGTAGGTACTTATGCTGAACAACAAAGTCGACCGTAGTTGTTAGCTATTGGAAATATTGTACACAATAAAGTTTATTTGAAAAAAAAAGTTTTTTCATATTTCTTATGTATTATATGAATTCGAGCAATATAGTATATTTTTATAAACTCAAAATGGAATTTAAACGAATTTCCAATTCTATTCAACGCAATAGTCCGTTTTATACCTAAAAATCGCTTCATACTTATAAGTATTATTTACTGATAAGCATAAAGCAGAATATTAATGATGGTTTTATTTTACTATTTGTTTGAATGGATTATATTAGTTTATCAATATAAATGTTTGCAGTAAAAAAACTAAAAAAAAACGTTAAACTAGTTGGTTAAAAACACATACATATCTAGTATTAATTAACCAACCCGACTGAGTATTCTGTATCATCAGTTAATGAATTAATACTTTTCCTTGTTGTCTATCGAATGCGTTCTTAGATCAAGTAAAAATCATCTTTGGGTGGAAATCGGTAACCAGCAATGGTTCTTATTGTAGCTGAAGTGTCGTACCCGTCCGCAGTTGTGAGTTCACATAAACTGACAGTATAAGGGAGGAAAACGATTGGAATTTGGCAAGCGGCCATACACTGTTTACCCGAAAGCCAACTACTATTTCCATCATGTATCTAGGGGTAACCGTAAGCCACATAAAGTATACAGATAAGTAAGTAAGCTCGACGCACGCAAGTGGTTAACCACACCAAACCGGCCTGTTGTATAGAAAAACGGAGTTTCTCTCAAACGTTCACGCTATATTTTGTAATATTATCGATAAACAGCAAAAGTTTAACACAAAAACAAAGTCGGTTTTCATTCCTGCGCTTTGTGTTTATTTTCAATTCAAAATGTTCGAGTTATTGCCTTTAAAAATTACCCCCTTTTTTTTAAACGTTTAAATAAGACGAATAAATATTTACTGAAAATTGTAATATTGAATTAACGTTTTTTTTTTTAAGTCCACCTGAACGACTGGCAATTAACCCAATAAAATCACCATTACCCGTTTTCTGCAGAAGGGATGACATTTTTAAAATTATTTTTCAAGTGAATAACACTTTTAATTAAAAAAATCGTACAAGTAAACACGACCGTATGTATTTGATTACATAAAACTGTTTTCAGCAACAAAAAAAAAAATAGATAACAAAACTATATTTCAAACAAATTTTCAAGTATGATTTAAGCGTAAAAAAATATGCTGAAAGTACTGAAAAACAATGTGACCTTGGAGATGTTTTAAAGCTCCATTGGACGTGCCAGATTAATCTATACCTTTAGTCAACGTTTCAACAGTCTAATTGCTGTATTGTTGTTGAATACTTATAAGTATAAGCAAACTGTACAGGAGCTCAGTAGTCAGTCGGATAACATAGAGCTTTACATCATTTTATATGGATAATTATTTTTATTTTTCGCCAATAAAACAGATATTGTCGTTAATTTATGTGTGTTCCGGCAATACCTCCTGTGGCAAGTTACGCGATACGAGCACCGGTTTTTTGATGTCTGAAAAAAAATATTATCATAAGTACGCTCTGGTCGGTGTACACTGTGTGTTTACTGAACTGCAATGATTTATAGAACGAATGACAAAACAACATAATATTAATACATACTATAATATAGTGTTATAAAATTATGCCATATCGGTTACCGGGGCAAATTCGTATTACTTTGTTTGATTTTGCTGATAGAAAAAACCCGTTAATTCGGCAAATTTTGTAATGTGTAAACCAAAAAAATAATTACCGTTTTACTCGACTAAACCGTCGAATACAATAATTATTGTAACTGTTTCGCGTGTAATAATATATTGATTAGAAAAAAAAAATGCAATAAATTTAAACAATCCAATTGTATGCCTAAAGCGATACCATCTTGTACCTTTTGAACAGTACTACACGTTCCGCTTCGTGTACTTACAACTGCAGCAATAATTTGTGTGTGTTTTTTTTTTTTTTAATTTTTCACATTACAAAGACACTGATTTATTAGGTACTGTTAAAAATAGTATTATTATTGTTATAGCTGTTATAGGCAAACGCCGCCGTTTTTGGTTTTCACACGGACCGACCACGAATAGGTGAGAATAACAATTACGATATTATCACCTCGGCCATAATTTTGATTTAATCAGACGCTATTAATTAAACTTTTCCGGTACGATTAGTGTTGTTTACGAGTGGCCGGACACGCATGACGAACGGCACTGTTTAGAATAATAACGTTATTTGTATAAATTAATTTTTGATTAAATTCTAGACTCGCCAAGTACAGCTCACATATATTATTATAATACTGTACACGGTTGCTGTACACACAAAATAATATTACCATATCAACAACGCGTAGGTTTTTTTTTGGAAATACTAAAATATAAAATAAAAGTCTGACAAATATTAAAACCATTAACTAATTATAACCAATAATACTATACTTAAAAAAAAAAAAAAGAAATACTGTCATTCTGTATTTTAGGTAATTAATAGATATAATTTTTAAAAACATTTTTTAAGATGTCCACTGGCGATGTGAACAAAATATTCAAAGTTAAAATAAAAACTAAAACTCTAACCTTCTTACATTGCATAACCATGTTAAACTTTGAGTCATCAGCCTTTTACAGTTTACATAGCCGTTTGCACATCTTAAACCTTCTTTGGAGTTATACATTAAATATGAGAAGATATCTTCAACCTATAATAACTTATTATGTTACATCAATTAAAACAATGGTATTAAGTCATGCGTTATATTAAAGAAATTTGTGTGGTAAAAAATCGTAAAACATTTTAATTAAATTAAAAAAAAAAAAAACAAGAGAGCTGAAGAAAGCAGAAACGTTAACATAGTTATAGGATTTATAACAATTTGGTTCTTGAGAATTTCAAATAATTATTTTTTGATAATTTTATTAAACCGTAATGGTATTTACTTTTGCGACGCTCTGCGAGAATTTAAATTAATCTAATTTTATAAATAAAAATTTGTTCTTTGTATTAATTTGTTTTTTATTATCGAGCATGAATTATAATTAAAATTCCAAAAGCTATAAGATTCTAATTTTATCTCTGAACGCTTTTATCGTACATTACCGTTCACGTTCCCTTCTTTTTTAATAATATTTTTGATTTCTTCACACAAAGATTATATTTTTAATAACATTCCATTGAACGTTTAACTAAAAGAGGTAGTCCTAATACTTTACTTAATGGTGAAATTAATTTGATGTCATATTTTAGACATTTAATACAAATACCTATGTTTCATTGTCATTTTAAAAATATAAATAAACAGACCTTCCTAGCACTTGCTGCAAGTTTAACTTTACTCACAAACCATATACTAGACAGTTATACATATATATATATATATATATATATATATATATATAGATTATAGATAGATAGATAGATAGATAGATAGATAGAGTTATAGATATATTTTAACTGGGAGGAATACTTCAACTGTGTTCTCAAATCGTGAACCGCATCATATAAACTGATATTATCGTACGGCCGGTGTTGACAATAAACGAAAGGTAT